GCACCATTTTTTACTTCTCATAAACTTTTTTAATTTTCGAATGTCGGATCGGATGAATTGAATAAAATCAAATGATAGAAATTAACAAAGGGTGTGAAATAAGTAAAAATAAGTGTGTGAATAATACACGCCTTTTATAAATAGGGTGGTCTAGAATTAAAAAAAAAGATGGGCCAAAGGCCCATCTCCAACAAAATCGATATTGTCCCAAACTTGGTAATTACCACCTACACAATTCTTCAAGTGTGAGATTTTATCACAAAAGACCTTGGTATTAGTTGGAGTGAGTTTGAGATATTTAAACTCTTCTGTTCACATAAATTTGGTCGATGTGGATATTTCAACAGGTGGTGCTGCTATCCACACATCTCTTTTTACTTCCCACACACCTTCTGTTAATTTCTGTCATTTAATCATCTTCAATTTATTTGATCCGACAGCCTACAATTAAGATGTTCAGTAAAAAGTAAAAAAGGAATGTGTGGATAGTATCCTATAAAATAATTTTAAGGGTGACAAATAATGTAGTGTAATTTCAAATCTAACTGCTCTAAACAAAAGTTGCATTGGGGTTTTTGTATTCATTAATTTATGTATTTTCTGACTAAAAAATCGATTATCATTAGTTTTTTGTTTCTTTAATTTTGTTTTCGTCAAATTTTGCTTCTTTAATTTTGACTTTTTACTTATTGCTTGTGCATGTCATATGAAGTGAAAACTGATTTAACGAACTAATAGTAATAAGCATGCAATTCATCAAGAGCCTAGAAACCCTCAGCAGCAGATCACATGGATGGATGTGAACCAACTCTCCCACAGAACTATCATCATAAGAAGATTGGACATGAGTGCAGCAATCTTACTAGTAATTAATTGCAGCAATCTTACTAGTAATTAATCAATTTTTTGAAGCCTACTGGAAAAAAAAAAGGAAATTAAAGGAGCATATTTAATTCATGAACCTGGTTTTTTTCACTGATTTTTTTTTTCTTTAACAAATTTAATATTGAAAAAAAGGTTGGTTCTGGTCTGGTCCTAATCAATCTAATGGTTATAATTAAAGGAAAACTAATGAAAAGGGATTGAAAACTTTGAGTTTTAATTATAAGGACAAAATAAAGGGTAAAGTGAATAGTACCATGATTGACTTTTTAGTGTAAAAATGTGGTTTTTCGTTAAAGTGAACAGTACCGGGTGCTTTTCATTAAAATTCCCTATAATTAAACATTATTTATTTAAATAATTTGATCAAAGTCCCTGACAGTATTTAATAGATTTAACTCCTACATTTATGCATTCAATATCCCACAAATTTAAATAATATTTTTACAATATAACAATTACTTAAAAATCAATAATAGAGTAATATCATGCTTTACATGGTTCTAGAAAAAAAAAAGATAATGTACCCATGTAACTATTGATATATTTTAAGAAATAACTATTAACATATTTAAAATATAAAATTAATACATATAATCAGCATGGGTACATTCACAAAAAAATATGGGTACATATCAAAATTCAAAATTATGGGTACAAATTAAAACTAAAAAGAATATTGGTACAAATTAAAAAAAAAAGGAACAAATTAAAAATAGACACATATGAAAAAAAATACTAAAAAGATATATTTGGAAATGATTAATAAGTTTTTCATTTTTAAAATTGACAAATGATGACTTGTAAATAATTTTAATATTCAAACAATGACATGGAGATTAGTCAAGGAACTTTGATCAAAAATAAAAAAAGAAATAAGGTTTCAATTAATGAGAAGAAAAAATGAGGGTTGAGAACCTAATTTATCCTTAATAAACCCTAATCATTATGCTCTAGTTTTGGTTTAGAACGTCTCTAAACGACTGACTAGCTAGCTAGCTCAAGGAAGAAACCCTAATTATATACTTGAATTTTGGAAAGAAAGAACATCTATAAATGGATATTTGTTTTCCTTAGATTGCTTGAAGGTATATGTGTCTTAGTTAATCTTTCTTTCCCAAAAAGAAGGTAAAGTAAAAGTTAAAAGAAGCTTCATGAAATTTTGGGCAAATCAAAGTGCCAAACCAAACTTGAAACTAATGAGGAACCGAGACCAAACTAGCTAGCTAGCTAAAGGAAGAAACATTGACAGGCTAGAAAAAAGAAGAGAGAGAGAGAGAGAGAGAGAGAGGTACTGTACTGGCCTGCTGGGCTGCTTGAAGGGAAAACACAATCTCCAAATATGAGGAGTTTGCCTTTTTCTGTATATGGAAGTTTCTTGAGGGAAGAAATAAATTTCCAAATCTGAGCGACCCTACTTCTTCCAATTTTGAAGCATAAACTCTGAGACAAATGATAACACTAAATAGATTGACGCAAACAAGACACGGTGATTGTCCTGACTCAGATTTGCATCTCTTAACAATACCAAACAAAAGCCAAATGGCCTACGGAAAGAGAATATGATGACTCAAAGAAAGGAGAAAGGAGAGTCGTCAGAAGGAGCGGATTACACAGCTTCTTTACAGAAAGTGAAATATTATATGTAATTATATTATAATTTGAAACAAGTTTGGGAAGTTGCTGACGGAAACATGGATAGTAGATCATATGTTTTTACGTAAGTAGTGAAAATTTTTAATTTTTAAGTTATTAACCTTTTAACATAAATAATTCATAATTTATATATGAATATATGATATATTATATCGTGTGACGGTCACGTTGAAAAATCTCTCTGCTCAAGGGGCTTCGAATAAAGTTTTTCGTTGTTCACGCCATTTGTCCAACTACTGCAACAAAGCCCTTCAATGAATGGGATTGGATTGGACATATGACCCGACAAAGTCTTTTGTGTCATACACACCACCTGCGTTTAGGGTTGCATGATGTCTTTCCAACCAAGTACCAAGTAAAACAGTAGTGATAATACCAACTTAGAGGTAGATTCTCTGCCTCCTCCTTTCCTTGTCTTCTAATTGTGTGGTCACAATTAAATCACGTTAATATTTTATATTACTATTCTTTTTTATTTTATTATTTTTATAAAAAAATAATATAAAATATTAACGTAACTTAACCGTGATCACACAAAACAAGAGGACACAGGAAGTATGAGGACAGAGAATCTGCCTTCTACCAACTTATCCAATTAATATTAAAATAATTACCCTATTTGCTTCCTTAAAATAATACAACGGTCGTTAATGATGTGCACAACTACAATTAGATGAGGCATTTAGGAGCATTGCATCAAGGAGTTTCAAAAGATGATGAATTTAAAGTCGGTACAAATGTTGTTAATTAAGTTTCTTGTTTTACTAACATATATGTTAGTTGTTGAGATTTAAAAGAGATACAAGTGAAATTTATAGGACATGTTAGTGTTGAATTTGAGTTTCGTCACATCGTCGGAGATCTAAGGTTTGAGTTCAATGTCGGAGGGTTGAGGTTCAATAACTATGTCTAAATACGCATTTTGAGAATAAGGTTCAATGTGAGTTAAATTCTAGGTTCAAATTAAGATCTTAAAATAAAGAAAATTTTGCATTAACCTATATTTCTTGTTCTAACATTTCTTATCATGTGATATGAGGATCTACACGTGTGTTTACTCGGGTCTAACTAGGGTCCTAGACTCCTATATTGTAGCTAGGTTCAAGGCCTATGTTTGAGGAAGGGGTGAACTACAGCACATGAGTGGATTGGAGCATGAAGTTCAAGGTGCAAGTTTACGCTGATGGTCTCAGGTCAACTAGGGTTTGAGCCGTTTGAAGGTTTAGGTTTGGTTATGGGGTCTAAGTCTCTGGTATGGGTAAAGTTTTCATCTGTGCAAAGGAGGATCATGAACTTAAATTTCATGAAATAAAGTTGCTAAATATGATATTTAATATGAGACTTTAAGAAACTATAAAAATTATCATTTGCTTGATGAATAACGATTCGTCAAACAAAGAGTCTTTACTTTATATAATATCATGTTCATCGAGTAAAAATGATCAACGTTTTGGTTTCTGCAGAGACTTTGACTGAACGAATAAAGTCCACGGGTCAAGTTATAGTCGTCAGGTAACTTTGCCTGATGAAATTTTGTTAGGCAAAATTAGAGGTGACAAAATGGTATTTGGCCCGAGAAAATTTTTTCATCTAAAGGTTTTGTTTTGTTTAGTTTTTTTTTTTTTTTTTTTTGTGAGATTACATCTTAGACTAAAAATTATGAAATTCTAAATTCACAAATTTCATCTTATGAACCTAGGTGATATACTTTTTCCAACACGATTGAAGGCACTTCTAAGTCCCTTCTCTTTCCCTCAAGATGACACTTGACTACAAGGAGAAAAACACCAGATAGTATACACGTGTTTCTTTTTAAATGTTTATCCACCCGCTTACTGCTACTCATACAAATCAGTCTTCACGGTGCATGCTTGTCCGCTTGTTTCAGACTTCAGAGGCTTCCAACTCGTGGAAAGTTGAATTGGTTGCATTCACTTTGAGGAGTTCGTACTTGTATTGTGAACAATGATCGGTTTTAATGCTAGGATCCAACTTCTGTTGCCTCCTACTGTTCCTCTCTCTCTCTCTCTCTCTCTCTCTCTCTCTCTCTCTCTCTCTCTCTCTCTCTCTCTCTCAATAGTTACACGTCTTACCAACCTCGGCCTTGACAAAACAACACCAAATTGACTGATGCATCCATCAGAATCACTGCGCTGAGGAAAAAGGTAAATATAAAAGAAACCAATATGCAAAAGGGAACATTAAAGAGACCATCCAAAACAAACCAAAGCCCCTTGAGCTATTTTGGGCACTACATTTTTAACACGCAAATGAGTTTCACACACTATTTTTTTTCTTTGATCATACAGATATCTGTTTAATTCTTATTTGTAAATCGAATAAAACAAAAGATAATCGGAGGACAAAAATAATGAGTTTCAGAAAATGGAAAAATATGCAGAAATCAGTTTACTATTAAAAATTCACCTATCCAAAATTTTCTTCTATATATGTAGTGAAGTTTCAGCTTCTTTCTCCTAGCCTTCAAACCCTTCACTCCAATCCCATGAAAGTTAACAGCAAACCATCCTTCAGGTGACTGCCATCACTTAACTCTCTTGCAGTTCTTTCTTCTTCACCCAATAGAAGAAACCCATGCCCTTTCTAAAACCCAACTGAGAGATTTTCCATTTTTATGTTCACATCTTTCAAAACAAAATTCCCACTTTTCAACTTGTGAAAAAAAAAGCAAGCTTGCATGTAAGCACTTATTTCCCAAATTGGCTTACTCTTCAATTCCCTTCAATTTCTTTGCTTGCATTCCACTGAACAAGTACTAAAATTTAGAGGCATATTTTACTTATAAGCCCTTGTCATCCAACACATAAAAAAGATGGAACCTTTTCATCCTTCTCTCACCTTTCCCTTCTCCTACACCTTCAACACCACTACTAGTGCACTTGGTGGTGGCATTGCTGAAAATATAGCCACATCATGTCCTAATCCATGGATGGATGCTAGGATATGGTGCAAGCTCCCCCATCGGCTCCTCGATCGTGTCATCGCCTTTCTCCCACCGCCTGCCTTTTTTCGCTCTCGATGTGTCTGCAAGAGGTGGTATGCTCTCTTGTTCTCCAACACCTTTCTTCAGCTCTACCTCGAAGTATCTCAGCGCCGCCATTGGTTCCTGTTCTTCAAGAACAAGAGCCTCAGGGGAAGCTACATATACAGGAACAACATTGGAGGAAGCAACGGTGACAGCAACAGGGGTGGTACTAATTGTGAAGGTTATCTTTTTGATCCTTATGAACTTTCATGGTATCGCCTTTCGTTCGCTCTACTTCCCTCCGGCTTCTCCCCAGCTTCATCTTCCGGCGGTTTAATCTGTTGGGTTTCGGATGAGGCTGGCCCGAAAACTCTCATTCTATGCAACCCAATTGTTGGTTCTATGTCTCCATTGCCTCCAACTCTAAGACCAAGGCTCTTGCCTTCCATAGGGTTGAGTGTCAACCCTACATCCATTGATGTAACTGTTGCTGGAGACGACTTGATCTCTCCATACGCTGTGAAAAACTTGACTGCCGAGAGCTTCCATATCGACGCAGGCGGGTTTTTTTCGCTGTGGGGAATCAATTCTTCCCTCCCAAAACTCTGTAATTTCGAATCAGGTCAAATGGTTAATGTTCGAGGAAGATTCTACTGCATGAACTACGGCCCTTACAGTGTCTTAGCCTATGATGTGGCAGCAAACAATTGTTGGACGATTGAGGCCCCCATGAGAAGGGCCCTGAGATCTCCAACCTTGATGGAGAGCGGTGGGAAGCTGCTTTTAGTTTCTGCAGTTGAGAAGAGCAAGCTCAACGTGCCGAAAAGCTTGAGGATTTGGGGGTTGCAGGCTTGTGGAACAACTTGGGTTGAGATGGAGAGGATGCCGCAGCAGCTCTATGTGCAATTTGATGACCTGGAGAATGGGAATGGGTACCGTTGTGTTGGACATGGAGAGTTCATCACCATCATGATTCTGGGTTCCGACAAGGCGTTGCTGTTCGATATGTCCAGGAAGAGGTGGCAGTGGATTCCTCCGTGCCCTTACGTTAATGCTGGGGTTGATGGGGACTTGCATGGCTTTGCTTATGAACCCCGGCTCGCTACGCCGGTCACTGGGCTGCTTGATCAGCTCACTGCAATTCCTTTTCAGGCTTTCAGTGCTTAGGAGGGTTCAAGTTGCAATGTGATCTAAATATGTAGCCGTAGGAAAGTGGCAGTGATGTCGGTGTTAGTAGGTTTAGTCCAACCTACTGAGGAGCTACTTGTTATATTTGAAGTTAATCTGCTATGTATTTTGTCGTTCTCTTCTACCTGGTGTATGAAACAGGAGATAGTTCGCATAACTATTGTGATAAACGTAATAATATTTCCTGGAATTAACTACAAGATTGAAAACGGCTAAACCGCCTATTGGACCGATTATAATAATATGGTATCGAACACTTCATTTCTGAAAGTCGAAGCTAGGGCTTTCCGCTTAAAACTGGAGAGGAATACCACTTTAGGTAAAGGGGAATGTTTTAAAAGCTTATCCTTCCGAGATCTGTCATATTTTTCCATTCTTAAGCTGCTGTTTTAACCGTTAATCAAATCATCAAACAAGTTTTCGAATGATGAAACAAAGGATTAGTTGACAACAAAAACTGCCAGTCAGTCCATACTAGATATTCTTACTCTATTATCAGGGAATGGGGGTATATACGCGACGAGTGAGACATTCACATGGAGATTACACGGTTCTCTTAAATCCGAAACTCATGACTTTGCATTAAACCCGAAACTCATGATTTCCTTAAGAACAAGCATGAAGCGTGCGGAGCATACAAATCAATCCCTTCCTCCTTTAACACATGTTGAATTTTACAATTCCACAAGCAAAGTAACATTCATAAATGGTTTCTTATCAATCACAGATACGAGGATTTCGAACAGTATACCATAAAAGGTACAAGTTCAAATTAAAATCAAATGAAAGAACCTAGCTTAAGCTTTCTTATGTTCGTATGTTCGTACATAAGCACAAATTTAAGGGAAAAAAAAAACAAGAAAACAAAGGGTTAGTATATGATGAAGAGATCAAGAGACTTGATATTGTATATTCTCAAAAATTTCGGGACTAATGTGTTTGCCTGCCAAGTTGGGGTCTTCCAGTTATTCGTCACCCACCTCCATCCCCAAACTAAAGCTGAAAATTTTTCTACCACTCAAAAAAGCTGCAACACTGGATGGCCTTCATAAAGTCGATGAAACTTCCTTTATATACACTTCCAAATAGGGTGGATCATAGGGTTGCAATTTTTGACATTCAACTCTATTCATTAGACTCGTCGTTAAGTCTGACCTTACAAATAAGGTGCCCTTCCATCTCCTGATGGATCGTATCCCTTCTTGACATTCAACTCGATATTCCAATGTATCATTTCAGTCTAACCTGGAGAATGAGATGGACATCCCTCTTGAAGATGGACCGTAGCTCCTCATTAGCTTCCATGCCAATTCTCCTGTTTCAGAAGCATGTATTTCAATTCAAATTGGCTCGTGTTGAAAGCAAAAGCAGTGATTCCAATATGCTAGGACTTCAGTATTTACCCTATTTTATTGCCCTTCTTTCCTACAAGAATCTTGCGTTGACTTAATTTGTTCGTGATAAGATGTTGTTCAATCCGAAGAGAGCCATCTCGCAACTCCTTCCAGTCCATCAACCGATGTTCAATAGTGTATGGGATTTCCTAAACAAGCAGAAATTGCCATTACTGAAGATCCTCAAATTGCTTATAAATTCAGACCTTGGGAATGAAAATATAATCAGATAGAAATGATAGCCTCAAAGTACCTCGAAACTGAAGATATACCTGATGCACATGGTCTAACAACCTTTCTCGGACAACTTCTAATGATATATTCTTCATAACTTCCTCAGTCATGATGAATGGATCTTCATCCCAAGACCGTTTAACGGCCTAAACATAAAAAAACCACTGAAGAACTGAGATGTGGGATATAGTGGACACCAGTAACATTCGCTAGAAAGATGAGCAGATACATGTAAACCAGACATATCTTGAAAATTCTTTCCAACCAAAACATAAATCTAAAGAAGGCCTTCGTAATAGAATATTTTTGACAGGTAAATGTCACAGGAAATGATGACAATGAAGGCAATACTAAAATGCTCACATGCCTGATCCATCAAATATTGAGCAAGATCTTTCACTCCAGAGCCCTTCAGACCAGAAATCATGAAACGCCTACAAGGTTAAAGAAAGAAATAGATCGTCAGATATACTTTTAAGAACCCTGGCGAAAAGAGAAAACACACCATCTTTGATTTTGTAAAAGGAAACACACCTTTCATAACCAGGAAGATCTTTGAATTCCTCAGCAACCTTTAACAAGTCTTTCTTCTTCTCAACTAAATCAACCTTGTTCATACATAAAATTCGCTTTTGCACTGGGTGTGGTAGTGCTCCCATACGCTTGATCAATCCTATAACCCTTACATCAGGCCTATATGGATGGAAATACAAGAACCGGGTGATTAGGGACCAAACACTGATGAAATTTAGAAAAAATTGTTAACAAACTTGAGTGGCTGAAATAATGCAGGGAATGAGGATAATGGCTGAAATAAAAAAAAAATGCACTATTATCAAAAGCGATGAACATTTGCCCAAATGGAATCCACCTGCCATATATATCTAGCTCTGATGCCTATGTTTGTTTCATGCATATTTAGAACCATAACACTTGTGAGCTATTGTAAAATATGGCCATCTAATAGCTTGCTAGGATAGGTTTCCTTAGAGTCAACCATGGGATAACTTGAAGAAAAAAAAAAAAAAAAGTTACAGGGTATCATATGGAATGAATAACTAACCTGGTAAGATGCCTATGGACGTCAAATATAACTATGAGCACATCGTATAAAGTAACTGAACTCCAAGCACTTTCTACGCGAACCTTGAAATCCTTGTAAGGACATCCCTTGTTGCTTAATGTAAGACCTGGAGTATCAAAGAAACACTGCATAGGCACACATGAAGACAGTCAATAAATAGCTCAAAACATCGATAAACAACTGCAAGATATGTCATACACCACAATTTCTGTGCTCCAGTCTGTGGGGAGAAAACATAATAATAACATGTCTACACATAAGTAATCGACGAGAATAATATGCAAAGACAACCCATCACCATTACCTTTCCTGTATCAAACACACTCATCACTATATGAAAGTAAGTGTCGCATGCTCATCACATTTTTGTTGTACCATAATTTCATAAACAAAGAACTAGGATAAAGAAATGAATTGCATATTGTAATTCGAATAATTTTCAGAGCTCATTAGGACATAATATAACTTAATCAAAGCATTCCCAGTCCAGAAAACCTGGTCGATTATAAGCTAAAACAAGAAACATACAATTTGTGTGTCTCCTTTTGTCATAACTCCTAATACTTCATGAGTAGTGGTGTTTGTCTTCCGTGAAACAGCGGAAACCTTCGTCCCAACCTATAAGAAATGCAGAAACATGTTATAAATCTGCACAATCTGTCACCAGAAAGGTTCTGGTTACAACAAAAGCCAGTAAAAAGTATACAATCCTCTGATATGGTAAACTTTTTTTAAAAAGAATATTACCACAAAATCCAACAAATTACATAGTTTACGAACAAAGTATAATCTCCCAAGCCAGTACATATCTCACATAGGGGGATTTCAAAGCTTCTTCATTTGTTTCCCTCCAAAGAAATTTTTGTTGGGACAACTTCAGACATATTAAGAAGCTCATGCCTGCTTTGGCCTCAAGAACTATTTGATATCTATCTGAGTAAAGTGCAGTGACCATGAACCAGCTATTGATATCGCTTTCAGACAAATTAGGCAGATTGTACCATATGCATGGTGAATATAACATAATACTGAGCAACACAGACGAACCCTAGTTGCCATAAAATATTAAACCATGACCAGCTAGGCAAATGAAAGAATCCACAACACCAAATTTACCCAAACCCTTGTCCAACGAAACAATCAAAAGCTTCCAACACTTCATTATAGTCATCCTATAGGACTAGCGTATACCCTACTGAAAACCCCATCACAAAGTCATCTTCTTTTTTTCGGGAAATGAATCGCCAAATCGTCAAACAAACTGTTAAACTACTTAGCAGTTCAAACCAAATCATAAACCACAGTAACACAGTCATCATTTAATATTATCATTAACTAAACCAACACCATATCCAACAGTTAATTAAACCTCCCCCCTCTTTTTCTCCCTCTCTCTTCTAAATTAAATACGTTTAAACCATAAAATCCAAAATAACAAACCATATAATTAGTCAGAGCAGACTTTCCCGCATTCGGAGCACCAATTATCCCTACAGACAGCGCCTTTTGGTCCTCCTCCTTCACCATTTCCTCCTCATCCCCTGATTCCTCATCATCTGCGCGCTCCAATGCTGCCTCGAGAAGCGCCTTAGCGAGCACTCTACTCTTTTGCTCCTCCTCTTCCTCCAAACGCTTCAATTTCTTCTTCTGGGCGTCCACCCCGATCGATTTATCAGCTTTTGATCTGTACTTGTTGTCCCAAGTCGGCTTCTGAGGAGTTTTGGGCTTGGAATCCGAACCAACGGATGGTATGGCGTAATGGGTACTGTCAAAAACCGAGTCCGAACCATTTTCGGGGTCTGAGAAAGATGGGTTGTGACCGGAGTCGTCCTCTTGCGGCTGAGCGGCGTAGAACCGGTGGAACAAGGAGGCTGGGTTTAAAGGGGTTTTGGTGGGTTTTGAAGAGAGGGTTCTCAGAACTCTTAGAGCTTTCATCTCAGCTGCTAGATACCAAGCATCGAGAGAGAGAGAGAGAGAGAGAGAGAGAGAGAGATTGGCTTTGTGTGCGTGGGCGGGCTGTTGGGGTTTTAGGGGTTTAGGCTTGAGGCTTCGTCTTGTCACTCTATATTGCTACGAACAAGTGTTTCTATTTTTATTTTTTTATTTTTTATTTTTTATTTCTATGGTCGAATTTTTTTTTTGGTTCATTTCTCTCTCTTTCTTATAACTAGCCTTCATTAAGCGTGTAAAAGACCTTTTTTGAATTACGACGATCTATGCACGACTTACACGTTTTAAATGTATTTATATTCGTAAATTGACAAAATGAAAGTCAAATGAATAATATGAGATCATACTATAAGAAATCCTTCATAAACCAATTAAAGCAGCTGAATTCACATAATAAAATCGATCTCTAGGCGCTTTGTTGCCCTCTTGGCAGACTATGACCAATTCCAGATCATAAGGGGAGAAGATTCAGAGAAGGAAATTTGAATCCAATCGTCAGGACTAAATACAACTCCATGAATGAGCAAAGAAACATTTTTCTCAGGTCTTTGCT